TTCCCTGCCCCATTTCCATACGGAACCTTTCTTCAGGAGATCGGTCATGGGTCTGCAAACCTCAGAGTATCGGTGGATAAACCGTCTTAGGAAATTGGCGAATCCGAGGAAGCACTGAAGTTCCTTGACTTTGGTTGGAGCTAACCAACCTTCGATCGCCTGAACTTTCTTTGGTGATACACGATTCCCTTTTCCTGATAGTATGAATCCCAGGAATTCTACCTCCTGTTGATACCATTCCGTTTTCTCGAGGTTTCCGTATAGATGGTGTCGTCGCAGTCGCTCCAAAACTTCCCGTACAAGAGTCGTATGCTCTTCTCTAGTCTTTGAATACATTAAGATGTCATCCAAGTAGACTACTACGCCTTGATCTAGAAGATCCTTGAATATGGTATTGACCATGACCTGAAACGACGCAGGAGCATTGGTCAGGCCGAAAGGCATTACCCTATATTCGAAGAGGCCGTATTTTGTTCGGAAAGCGGTTTTCCATTCTTCGCCCTTAGCAATCCTAATCAGATTATAGCCATTTTTCAGGTCTATTTTCGTGAAGTAGAGTGCTCCTTTCGTTGCGTCGGCCAGCTCATTCATGAGTGGTAATGGATAGCGGTTCTTGATCGTGATTCCATTCAAGCCGCGAAAGTCGACACATAACCGAAGCTTACCATTAGCTTTCGGAACGAACAGGACGGGTGCCGCTGCTGGGCTAGTGGAGGGGACTACTTTGCCAGAGGGCAGATTTTCGTCCAAATACTCCCGGAGTGCCTTATCTTCAGGTGGGGAGAGCGAATAGATCGGTCCCCACGGAGGCTGCTTTCCTTCCATAAGAGGAATGGTATGATCCCATTCAGAGTGGTCAGGTAGTCGCGCGGCTCCTTCCTTGGAGAATACGTCGGCATGTCCCTGAAACTCCACCGGTATAGCACTAACGAGAGCCTCGTTTACCGATGCTCTTGCCCAGAAGGGGTGTTGCTCAATCGCCATCTGCTTCTTGGGTGACGCCCTCAACAGCCTGATGACTAGCTCTTCTGGGTCTTGATCGTATATGTCCTCGACTGATACGAAGCATCCATTGACTATACAGTTGTTGCTATGGAAGCTAACACTGTTGCGTCCCCAATGGATGGTTGGTTGATGCTCCTTGAGCCATCGATGTGGTATGACGAGGTCCTCTCCTGCAAACGAGCCAACTTCACAGGTGATAGCCCTGTCTGGATGATTTCCGATGCGGAGGGTAAGAGGTTGAGTGATGTGAGTGCCGGAATTGGGCATAGGGGTACCATCGGCCTGTCTGATGATGAGAGGCTTTGGTCGAGGTTGAGTGGGTATTTTTGCACGGTGGATACAGTCCCAGGACATGATCCAGTCTTCTGTGCCACTGTCCAAGAGGGCGTTGACTGTCGCGACATGTTTGGTACTAGTTGCGGGGTGGTCCCAAGAGATTTCGATCTCGAGGCGAGTTTCTTGTGTGTTGGAAGCCATGTTTGTATGTTGGTTTAATAAAAGGTTGTTTATTGGTTTGATGTGGGTTGGTTCGATGGATTTTCTCTTTTGTTGAGCGCGGGGTGAGGGGTTTTATATAGAGAGTTCGAGTGTTTGATGAAGATCATGGTACAACACTTACGCACCAGGCGTTTCGGGGTGTAACCCCATCCTCAGAGTGTGTGTAAAGAGAATTGAATTTCCGCGCGTGTAGCAAAACAAATATAGAAAATCCCGTAGCCCACCGATAAAAATAACCATAATACATAAAATCCTTGTTTCCGCAACAAAATAGAAAGAAACCAGAACGCAACATGAGATACCGAAAAAATAGAAATACCCAATCAATTTTGATCCTCCAAAGTTGTAATCCTTGCCCTAAATACCTCATTCTGGGGGCCCAATTTTCGCTTCTTTTCACCCTCCCTTCCGTGGTCCTTTCCTCCGGAAGGATACCGTTTCCTCTTCAGGTCGGTTATCCTGACCTTACTCGTCGCCACGCAATCTTTCGCAAAGTGGTTATCTCTTCCACAACGGAAACACTTTTCTTCCTTTTGCCACTTCTCCTTCTCGTCCTTGGTGACACCTAAGTCATCCGAGGCCTTGGAGTTGTGTGCTGGCGCGGAGAAAGTTTTCCGAGGTGCGGGGTTGCGCGATTTTCGCCGTTCCGACTTCTCCTCACGAGGTTTCACGACATCTTTGCCACGTAAGATTTCTTTCCGGGCCTTCACCTCGTGATCCTTTCGTCCGACCTTTCTAACCCATGCTAGCCATTCTGCGAAATTTTCTGGTTCCTCGATCGCATTCGAGAGGCGTTGTTCCAGCGAGGAGTTTATTCCTGTTAGGATCATGGATTTCATTACGATGGGCCCGACCTTTGCGTCCCATTCTAGATTCTGCATCTCATTGATGTAGTCATCGATCATGCCAGTTTGACGGAGCCTATCCATCTTCTGCTTGGCTTGCTCTTGACTAGTCCGATTGCCATATTGAATCCGTAATTCGTTTTTGAAATTTTCCCATGTCCCGATGCTGGGGTCAACCGATAGTCGTTCCACGAAGTTTCGCCAGAATTTTGCCGCGCTCCCGGTAAGTTCCAAGGATGCCCATAGGATCTTGGTTTGGTCATCCCACCGGACTTTCCTCTGAAGTTCAATTAAGACTTCCATTTGGTCAATCCAGTGTCGCACGTCTTCGTCGGCTTTTCCAGAGAAGGGGATTTTTGCCTGTTTTGGCGTGTCTCCCAGGGTGGCGCGAGGGGGGTGCATGAGATTTACCTCTTGCTGCCTATTACGGCGCCTTCGCTCCTCCCGTCTTCTCTGCCTTCGCTCGCGTGCTCGGCGATCGTCCTCTGAATCTGAGGAGCTGGATGAGTCGGAGGGGGATGGGTCTCGTGGTCTCCCGCGGGTTCCTCCATTACCATTATTGCCGTTGCCTCCCCTGCCTCCTTGCTCACTTTGTTGGCTCCTGGCCTCAGAGCGAGGGGGTACGGGGGGTTGGTTTGCTGATTCTTCCGGTCTTTCTCCGGAATTGCTAGGGGGGTTTTGTGGAGGTTGGGGGGGTACTACGCCCCCGCCTCCTGAGCCTTCAGGGGCTGCTGCCGTTCTATTGGCTGCTACCCGCATTTGCTCGATAATCTCCTCCAGGTTCTTCTTCGTACCCGCGAACTGGTCTTCCATCGCAGCTTGTCTGTCCCGTTCCATCTTTTTGAGGGCAGCCGCAACTTCCGCGGGTATCTGCACTGGGCCATCCTTTGGGAGTTGCTGGACGAAGTTGGTCAGCGCGTTTATGTGCTGATCCTGTCGCTCCTGCCTCTCCTGATGCGCCCTAGTTGCTTCGACGATCTGCCCAAGGACTTGACCGAGGTTGCTGGTAGCGGCGGTGGATTCCGCTCGTAGCTGAGCCATGACCTGGTTGAGCTGATTGTCGCGCTCGGCTCTGTCCCCAGCAAACTTGGCGTGGAGGTCCTCGACGATCTTGTTGGTGTACTCCTGCTGCTGACGGGTGAGTTCTCTGAGGATGGGAATGTCCCGTACGTGCATGCTGAGTTCCTCGATCCCACGGCTGAGCTGTTGCACCACGGGGGCCCCTTGTCGCTGGACTTCTTGCCCAATAAGGTCGCCAAAAGGGTTCTCCACCCGCCGTTCCTCCACGTCCATGTTGGTATCCTCGTCGTCGTCCATTACCCGAGGCACCGAGGGCCTCTGAGTAGAGGATCTCTCTCTGATTGGGGTGACGTATGGGGAGAATTCCCTGTGGTCTACCTGCCGCCTCCTCGCCTGCCCATATGATTCTTCCTGCCTCGTCGATGCGAAGAGGGAGCCTATCGGCACATCTCTCTCTTTCCTGTGGCGCCTCTTCGCCTGGGTTTCCAATATACCTCGATCTCTCAAGGCGATTGAGCTCTCCATGTTGTAGTCTTCCTCCGACCGTTGCTGATGAGCCCTTGACATTGCTAAGTTGCTCGAGTTTGAGCTGTGGTTGCCTTCTGCACCAGGGTTGAGCGATGAACCAAGGGGCTGGGTGAGCAAGTCCGAAAGACCGTTGCGAGAGGGTGATCTTGATTGGGAAGAGTTCTGGGTAGTTGAGGATTTCGGGATCGTGTTCCTCAAAGGTGGCTGTGGTTCCTGCTTCTGCGAAGAAACCTGTGTAATGAAGGTATCCGCAGTATAGGTGTTCGGCGCTTCCTCTTCGTACGATGAAGGATGTAGCGCAAAGGTAGTTATTGATGGCTGCTGTTGCCACTCGGGGGTGCATATAGTACCTTGGTCTTTCTAATAGACTAAGCGCTTATTCTTCTACTAAGAGCACGGTGACTATCCGCCACTAAGCAAAATACTCAAAGTATGGGTTTAAGCGAGTAGTTGTCTTATCGAGACTTTTGGTAGTGTATGCGATAGGTAAAGAGTAAAAGTTAGGGATAAGGTACAATATAGTGTTTGGGGAAATGGCCAGTGCTAAGCGATAATTCTGTAGCGTTTAAACTGATGATATTGTAAACCGGATTCCCTTGACTTGATGGTTGATGATACCCTCAAGTCTTCGCAGAATCCTGCCCTATTTATACATGTTGGAACCTAGGCCAAGGCCCGCTTTCTAATACTAACTGATACAACGATAATAGAATAAGACAATGCTCCCGAAGATACCCCAGATAGAAAAGCGCCCCCGCATAGTTCCGTCCTCCATTCTAATTCCGACACGTAACCATGAACCTTGCAATTGCCAGTCATCGGGCTGTACCATACTATTATCCTAGACCTACTTCCCTGAGTAGAACAGCCTACAGCCGTAAGCCCCGCTTCCTATTCTATTTCGGGTGAGACACCCAACAGTAAGCGTGCCGTCATAATAGTATAGTACTAGTGTGGTAACACCGCGTGCCCCCACACTACCCGATACCTTTCTATGCTTGTCCTTCCGTTACCCGACCGTCCTCGCATCACAATCCGTCACTCGTATTCCTCACTGTTCTAAGCCTTTAGGACAGTATTCCGTAATCCCTGTAACATACAACTATGACAAAAAAGTCACAAGTTTCCTTCTCTTCCAGATACTATCTCTTTTCGAATGATGGTCAAGAGGCATGGGAGAGCGATCGACTCACAGATGCCCTCAAAAGAGTAACCTGCTCAGAATTCGGTGTAGACCACAAATTTGGAGTTTCCACCTACCGACACCTGGCTATTTCTATGGGAAGAAGGTTTTTGAAAAAGCCTTTTGAAGATGAAGACTCCCAAGCCGAGGAGGAGGGCCTCGATTTGCAAGCTGCACATTCGAGTGCTGTAGCAGATAGGTTTTATCCTGTCAATGCAAGTACTTTGAATGAGTTGACAGAGAGCTCGATGAATATATTTGGATTAATCAGCCGCGATTGGCACAAGCTTGTGTATCCAAAGCAAAACTTATTGGCTCAAAGTGAGGTACTTGAGGGGGTTACAGGAACGAAGACGAAGGACAAAAACCCCGAGAGTGTGGAGAGCATTACACAATCAGCGACTGCAGATCTAGTCAGGGAGATTGGGCAGGTATCTGTACAGCAGAAATCAAGAGGATTGACCAATGAAGAAACACACATCCGGTGCAATCAGATACTGAATGGGTTATATGGTAACGATGCCAAATTCAAGTCGGTAGAGCAGAAGGAGGCTCTCGCAGCTTTGTTAAAGGGGGTATCACCGCTAGTCGTGGTACTGCCGACTGGTGGAGGCAAAAGTATTCTTTTGCAGGGCCCCTCGCTGGAGCTTGGTGCAGGGGTTACAGTTCTAATCTCACCATTCATTGCGCTCTCGCAGGATATTGTAAGGAGGGCGAGCACCCTAAAACTCGACTGCCAGCTGTGGGGTAAGGACATGAAACAGGATAGTCAATTGTTAGTTGTTACAGTGGAGTCGGCAGTATCGGCGAAGTTCAGACAATATATCCGGAGAATTAAGGAAGTTGGGAGATTAGATAGGGTAGTAGTAGACGAAGCACATATGCTTGTCACCATGGTCAATTTCAGGGAGTCATTTACAAAGCTCGACTGGTTTACAGGCATCGGTGTACAATGTATATTTCTGACTGCAACCCTGCCAAGCTGGATGGAACCCGAGCTGAGGAAAGCGGCATTCATACCGAGCTTTGCCTTGGTGCGGGCTAGAGTATCACGATCCAACATCGCATACTCAGTACTCACCGGCAGTAGAACATCAATAGAGAAGCATCTCGATGAGATTATGTCAGACTTCTCTAGTAACACCAATGCACAAGCCTTAATATATACCAGGTCTTGCAAAGAGGGTGAAAATATTGCGAGAACTCTGAATTGCTCGATGTATCACTCGAGAACTGGTGATAAAGATGCAATACTCGACGATTTCGCCAATGGGAAGAGTAGGATTCTTGTTGCCACAACTGCATTAGGAGCAGGTATCGATATACCGAATATTACCTTGGTGGTACATTTTAAAATTCCCTATGGATTCGTTGACTTTTCACAGGGAAGTGGGAGAGCAGGTAGAAATGGGAACACTGCTAGTTCTGTGGTATTAGTAGCTACAGATAATATCGATAGTGAGAAGGTTGATATTATGAGTGGTGACAGAGAGGCTATGACAGCTTACTGCAAGACAAGCGACTGTAGAAGGATAAAGCTTGGTGAGTATTTTGATGGGTATGGTATGAGGTGCATATTGGGTTCTGACGAATTATGCGATAACTGCCTAAGGAAACTTCACCAAGGGGAGGATCTATACTCTGAGGATGAGGAAGTGGCAAGCTTGTTTGCAAAGTCGATTGAATATGTTCCAGTACCAAATGTCGAGGATAATAACGAGATAAGAACTTCACGAGCTTCTGGACTGGCAACACCGAGTTCGAGCACTTCAATTCCCGATGTACCCGCTAAGGTAAACATCGCTATTGGTGCAGCCACGAAGAGGTTAACTTGTGCTCAAGCCAAAGAAAAAGTAGCCATCAATTTCGGTGTAAAATTAAGTGTCCCGATCAACAAATCTGTAATCAACATTGATTCAGAATCGGACGGGAATGATAATAATCAAATGAGGGGAATATCTGCAGCTAGTGGAAGTAATGATGGTGCAATGACCAGTGGCAATGCAAGGAAAAGGCGAAGGACTACAAGCACCATCGTTTCCTCGAACGAAAACGACGATGACGATACTCCAGTTGCGATTCTTGAAAAACCTGTAAAAAATAGAAGAATAATAAGGGTGGTCGATAGGTATGAGATGTCCAGACTGCCAGCTGGTGCCCCATCAAGTGTTAGCTTGCCATTGACTGATTTTGCAATAAGTACTGGCAATTCGCGCTCAAGTTCCTCGGAGGCTGTCATTTCAAAAAACGTGAACCGGGCCTCACCAGAGTATAAAAGCACCACATTGCGGGTCATAGAGGAGATGAGGGTCGAAAGGGTTGCATTGGCCTCCGAGTACTGGCACAGGATAGAGGGAGCAATGCCGAAGCTCGCTGGTTCATGTGGGTACTGTTGGATGGGTTCTCGAGTGGAAGCCGAGCTTGATCATCCAAGCAAGGAATGTACTGGGAGGTATAGTAAGCTCAGTTTACAGGGGATTAGTAGTGACTATAATTCCTACTGGGAGTGGAGAAATGTTGTGAAATGCGATCAGTATGCCTGCTGTTTCCGATGCCAACTACCTCAGCATATTTGCAAAGTTTCAAGGAGTAATATGGGTCAGAAATTAACGTGCAAATATGGGCCACATGTTATCATGCTAGTGGTATATGTTGCTCAATTTATCAGGCGATTGAGGGTGAAGATCAAGGGGCTTATGGGTGTCGAAGTCTTTAACCCCGATGAGTACACTGCTTGGATTGGAAAGCTGGTCTGGGTTCATGGTCAAAAAAGCACAAACCTCATGAGGGTTTTCGATATGGCAATCGATATTTAAAGATAAGGTTAGTAAAGAAATATGCTAGTTTCGAAGAGCTTTTAACGAGTGTTAATTATAGGTTCATTGTGGTTGGGCTTATATGGCTGGGTTCTTGAATTCGCTATGGGGGAATAAGGTTGTGAAGAAGGGTTAAATGACGATAGGTCATTACAGATCAGGCATGAAATTAATTACTTTTGAGCTATAATGACAGTGAGCATGAGACTGATTTATATTTGTGTATGGAGGTGGTTATATCGGATGCGAAAAGGTATCTAGTAGGAATAGATATCTCTTGTGTAGGCTGCGGGGATTTGCTATCAGTGGAGGGAAATAAATTAACTTCTATCATTGCATAAATCTAGTTCAGTGATTAAAAACACGTCGGAAATATAATGCTATTGGCTACTTAACACATCACCTCTCGCAGAGTCTAAATAGCATGGTTTGAAGGTGAGGGGGAGAAGAGTTGTGGGTATTGTAGTAATATATGTTGCCGCAGTAGGCATTCTAAGTGCCCTTGATGCAGGGGGTGGTATTTTAATTCAAGGACTTTATATATGAAATTCACAGTGTCACTCGCAGCTGTTGCTGCGTTGAACTTGGTTATAACGAGTGACCTTTGGTGAATCTAGATTAAATTGAAATATGACATCAGATTACTATAGTGATGATGGTTACTTTGATAATTAAAATCTATTTTCAGAGTATAGATAGGAGTAAGTAATGTTCAGCTGTGGTTGTATGTATTTAGGGAGGAAGGTTTTTGGGGGGACGAGAGACGGTTTATGAATGGCAATGAATTTTAATTCTTTTGACGAAGGGCTATAGAAGAGGTGGGTTCGGTCACTAATGATACAGTATATCGAGTACCGGGGATTAAAAAGGAACAATAAGCTTTTGGAGTATGTATCTATGTAGAAAAGGCTTCGGATTACCGAGTGACAATGAGTGAGTTTAAATTTATTTTACACTTTGTACTGAGAGAGTAGATTTCAATTGGCTATAATCACCGAAATACACTCAAGGTGTGGGTATAAGTAAAAAATATCATACTGTAGATATGTTCACTTGATGGAATGGATTCGGGCGGTACGAGTGACAGTAGATGACTGTGGATTTATTTTAGATATGCACTCAGGAGAGTATGTGAATGTGGATTTGCTCACTAACATTAATGCTCTGGCAGGATATGGTATCCGAGAGTGGTTGGTTCTCGAGAGGTTTGGGTTCTCCACAGACAAGTTTTGGGACAGGGCGAGTGATAATCTATGTTGGAATATTTAAAAAAAAAAAGGGATTACAAGACTTGTTCAAATGACCAGAGAATAAAGTATTCAAAGATATCACGCAGTGTAACATTTTTCGGAGTAGAGTATGAGAATTTAGTGAACAAAGCTTTGAGTTCTCGAGAAGTACGACTAAGTGATATTTATTGAAAGAATACAACAGTTTTCACAAAAAGGTAGTAAAAGAATTCAATTTAACTTGTGAGTGACCAGTAGTGGTTGAGACAGACAATGTAAGGGTTTAAAAGTGTTATCAAAGTGTGAGAGAGTCCGTCGAATCTATTTGGTACTACTATAGAAGAATCGCCGAACTTGTGAGTGACATTGGCTATAACAAGTATAGTTTCTTATTCCATTTTGTCAGTTTCATTGGAGCGAAATCTCTCGTTAAGTGTATCAAGTTTAATATTCGTTGAAAACCCCGACTGAAAAGAAGAGTATACGCTGTTTGGTATAAAGCACAGTCAGAGTGAGAGTTCGTATACCAGGATAGCGGGTGAAGATTTAATGGTCTTCTTACAAAAGTGGTCCATCTTATGGTATCTCGAGTACCATGGAATCGTATTCAGTTGTAATGAGCTCTCGTCATCATCCTAATTCCCAGCCATTACTGATTCATTTGCTCTTTTGCTTTGGAATCATTCTCTTTCATCGCTTCCATCTGGCGGGCTTCATTTTGGTGTTTGATGTCGCCTACTGGCTGCTGTTAGCTTACTGAATTGAAGGGAGAAATTAGGATACTGACCAGTAAGCTGATGAGTATTATTTGTAGCTCCTGGATTTGTAGCTCCACCAACAGCTTCGATAGAACCTAGGAGGTGAACGTTAGTCCAAAGGACTGTGAAAATGAATTTGAAACTGACCAGTGCGTTCACGAGCAGCGTGAATGCTCTTTGTAGGAATGACAAATTGCGAGCAGGTTCCGCTTTGAGCCATTCGACAAAGTCAATCATGCTAGAAGTTTCCCTGAGATATCTATTTTCCGATTTTCATGGCCCTGTGGAGTTCCACACCTCCTGCGAGTGGGTGTCTGGTAGGATTGCGGCGTTATACTCGGCGACGAATACTTATCCTGCAACATGAGAATCTGTCGATCATGCTCTGCTAGCTTTAGGGTGAGGTGGCCGATTCGGATTTCGTATGCTGAGATGCGAGCCTTATACTTTGCAATCATCCGTAGTTCGTCTGCCGACATCGCTTTCTGTAGCGTTGGTGTTTGCTGTGTAATTCGAGTGTGTTGTTTGGGTGGATTTCGTATAAAAAGAGGGAGAAGACTGCTTTTGAGACGTGACGTTGAATTACGAGACACGTATAGTCACAAAGTCTGGGTACGGTGGCTCCTTGGGGAAGACTAACCAGTTTAGTAATACGTGTTGTTAAGCTTCAGATAACCGCGCTAGAAAGTACATTGCTGATACTATATCAAATACATATTTAATCGAGGAGTTGTCTTATACTCAGCCGATGTTTAAACTGCTACTCGTAGGTGGGTTTCTATTATTTAGGGGGAAGTTATGATATAGGGAGATTCGAAGGATATATGCTGAATATTGACGAGGCTGATATTTAAGGATTCGTGGGTGTTTAAAACCTCTTCTGCGAAGCCCAACGGAGCTCGCCTCATTCTCACTGTACTAACGGAATAAATAGTATTGGATGTATTGTGGTGCGAGGGATTTGTTGTGTTGCAAATATTCAGGAAGCATAGAAACACAGTAGGAAAAGAAAAAGGGTTAATTTCTCTTCTAGGCTCAATTGTGATATTACTCGTATCCTTAATGAATAAAACCGGGAGGAAAAAACTGAGCTCGCTCTTGTTGTATGCCTGTGGAGTGATACATTATGATGCACTAGGGGAGAGAAGAAGTTGCAATAGTACAAGAGTCTATGTTCATCTTCGGGACCTTTTATAAGCATGAAGGGAACAACCAGGAGGCGTGTAAATTTATGCTTCTGTAGGCTCCGCTATTTAGATATCCAAGGTGTTCTCGTTCTTGTTTTTTGTGAGGTGGGGTTTGGACCACTCCGGTTATGCGCATGGGATGGGCAACCTGGTAATACCTCTAGCTTTGGTTGTTAAGGGACCTCTGTTTATATATAGGTCTGATGGGTATGTTGATGAGGTTAGATGCCTGCAACAATGGATTTGGTGCCAGTGGGTCGTTTTCGGTACTCATGGTGTTGTATACCTTAGATAAGAATCAGGTGATGGACCTCTGTTATCCGAGTGATAACCCTTCTCCTTGGAGTTTTGTCTTGGGTGCACGACTGTTGAAATCAAGTGCTGTGGGAAATGAAGCCTGTTTTAATTCCGAGTTTCTGAGTGTGCTGGAGCTTAGGGGTCCTTAGTGACATGACATGTCGGTGGGATGGGTCCAAGGTGGTCCTTTGGTCATAGGATCTCAGGGATTTGAAAGCATAGTGATGCCTCAAACTTTGGTTATGAGAGAATTATGTTTAAAGCCAGAGGTTGCTAACCTAGGCTCGCGTGTGGGATCGTTCTCCAGTATAGTCGTTCCTCGAGTTTCGCCCAGTGGAGGCCACTACTTCTGTGTGCTGGGCCTCCTGAGACTGGTGAAGCTAGGACGGTACGGATTGTTTGCAAGATGATGGCTGGTACCTTTGGTTTTCCTCACAGGGGTGGTGCCTCGCTCTCGGATGAGGATCATGCTTCGAGCAAAGTGGTTCCTCGTTTCGGAGTGCAGGTGTCGAGGCCTTCCCCCTCCGCTCAGGGGTTTTGAGAATCTAGTGGTCCATTCTCTACGAAGCAACTCTGATTTGAACTAGATTGGTAGTCATCGGGGTTTGACTGCGGTGGGACCTCTGATGCATGCGAATGTATTCCGAAGTACTCTCGCAGGTAAGACCGACTATAAAAAAACATACTCCGCGAAGCAACTGTTTGGTACGTCTCCTCAATTAGTACCAGTTGGTGTATGCCTTCTAATGAATCAAATAAAAATTAAAAAAAGTATGTTCTTGTTGATTGCATTCTACCGAGTGATATATCATAACGCGCTCACCAAGAGGAGAGGGGTGGAAGAGTCCGAGTGAATGGTGAGGACCTTCTATCAGGCTAAGAGAGAACGACTGGTAGCGGTCTGTAGTTGAGTGTGTTTCAGTAAGCTCGTAGAGGGACCTGCCAGCTTGCCTTGTGAAGAAACCACTGTTTTGGAACCAGATGTATGCTCTGCTGATTCGTAAGGTTACCTCACTGAGGTTGCATATCGTTTGAAGTTTGTACCGGGTCGGGACAAAGATTGACTTTCGGGGCAGTGGTGGTTGGTCCTCGGAGTGTTGGAGTATGAACTTGGGTGCGGATTGGTTCTCGCTCTTTCGCTGGCTAGGCACCTCCCTTGGAGTCAAAGGTATGATGGAAAGGCATTGGGGTGGGAAAATCACATGGGATCGACGTGGTTTGTTCTCCAAGTTTGAGGTCGGGACCATTGGTAGAAGTACAGCGAAGCTCGATGGAAAATTGTTTTTCGGTCCCTGCTGTTTCCTCAAGCTTTGGCCGCCGTGGTGTCCTCTGAGTGGTGTTCCTGTGGATAAAGAGAACTGAGATGGTTTCTCTCCAGGAGGGGGTCAATCTGTAGCGTATTGGCTAGTGGTCCCTCAAACCTTGGCTTCAACAGGCTTCAGTTTTTGAGCGCAATTATGTACGCTGCACTGGTCTCACGGGTGCGATGGCCATGGCTTAGGTGTCTTCGCAAATGGTGATTACTCACT